TCTTTGCATTTATTTGACTCCAAATATGGTTTATAGGGTGTAGTTTTTGTTAATTATTATTTTATTTTAGGAATCCTTTCCATGGCAAATGCTGGTCCCAACACCAATGGATCACAGTTCTTTATTTGCACTTCTAAAACTACATGGCTGGATGGCAAACATGTTGTGTTTGGATCAGTTGTGGAAGGTAGCAGTATCGTTGAGCAAATGAATGATGTTGGTTCTGATTCCGGCAAAACATCAAAGCCTGTGGTTATAGCAGACTGTGGGCAGTTGTAATGAAACACTCCTTTTGATCTGCTGAACATGTAAACTGTAGAATGGTAGAGATCAGGAAATAAAACTTAAAGTTGTTTTTGCTGTATGTTAACCACAAATTGTTTCCACTGGTACATTAAACAAAGGTTTTATAAGGGATAGTCTCTAAACATATTCACAGAAAACTATTAGTGGTGTACCTTGAACAGACAATATCCAAAAGTTGAAAAGGTTTGTGAGTACTCAGTGGGCCTGCTTTTCATTATAATAGCGGTAACCTAAATAGTGGATGCGGGGATGAATGATTTGTGCCAAAATTTACCTATCAGTCCAAAATCTAACCAATAGATTTCTATTGAAGGGTAAAAGGAATACATTGCACAGCTTTGAAGCATGCTTTCTCTATATTTCAGTGTTCACCAAATAAATGCAGTTTATACCAAGCTTTGCTGATAAGACCCCTCTCATTAAATATAACTGTTCTTTCTTCCACTATTTAAACATCTAGTCTTTTTACAATGCACAACATTTTAAACTTTTATGCTGACTGATATCTCGCAACTCTTAATTGTGATTAACAATTTCCTTTGTCAACTAACAATAAAGAAATAGAATTGCTTAACTTTAAGCCAATGCCACTGTTGTTTCAAGAAATCAATCAATCAATCAATCATGAAGAAAAAAAACTTACATATATTTACTATGCAGTTAAAAAACTGTTCTTGCTGTCTTTGGAACAAACTTGGACATCCTTTGATTGTGTAATGTAACTATTTCTTGCACAAGATAAAGCCAGTGCATGGCTTCAAATGTTGTTAAATCACTGACATTGCTCTTGAAATGGTTCTTTACCCATAACATGTACAAGTGCACTTAAAATACATGTTAATTATATATTAGTATTTACAAAAAAGGGACTTGTATTACAAAATTTTAGATACTGCTTAAAAAAGACTTTGGTCTTTTGAATAAATATTAAAAGCAAACTTTTTTCAGTGATGTGCACTTGACCTTCCATGAATAACTTACTAAGGGAAGTTTAAAATAATGTATTTCATTGCAAAGATAGCTGTAGGCTTTCTACGTTTTCTAAAAGTACAAATAAAAAAGAAATACTAATATGAGCTAATTTTCGAGGTGACTGAGTGTGGTGGTGCAAGCCACTACACACTCACTTCAAGCCTTAACACTGAACTTATTTTAACAGAAAATCCTTTACAGCAAGTTAAACAACTCAAATGTAAGCATTACTAAGTTAAACTGCTTACAGTACATCAAAAATTTAAATTGTTTAAAGCTATCTAAGTTCCCACTTAAATAATTAAATTGATTTTTTTTGGTTAGACATGAACAATACAATAAGCTTGTAGCAAAGAACACTAACTAAATTCCCTTCTCCGTTCAATAAACATGTAAAATCTCTTGGAAAGGAGCCCTTCCCCCTAAATTTGTATTAATGATGTTTTGCATCTGGATGGAAAGTTGTGTCCAGTTTCTAACAGTCTTATTTGTCTCCTCAGCAAAATTATATTAAGCTGAGTTATCTGGTTCCAGTATCACATCTAAACCATTATCATTGGTAACTTCTTGGTTAATAACCTCACTTTCACAATCAGATTGCCTTTTCTCAATAACTTCTCCACAGTCTTCTTCATTGACTTTACCTTGAACTTCTAATAAAGTTTTTCTTCCAACAGTTTCTTGTTTTGTTGATATAATGTTACTTTCACATCTATCTGCAGATCCCTCTGAATTATTTGAATCATGAGTTCTCTTGGTTACCCTTTTTAATTCAAGGTCTTCCAATGTGGAAGTTGATTCTTGCATTGCCACTTCATGTACCCAGCTTGTCAGATCATCATCTATCTCATTCAAGTTCACTTCCTCACACTCTAACTGTTGATTTTTCAATGCCTTGCTGTCTTGGTTGGTAACAAGCTGTATTTCTAAACCATGTGGATATTCTTTGCTATCAGAAAACTTACTTGCTTCATTTGTGTCCTCAGATGTAATCACACAACTATCAACTTGTACAACACTCCATTTTTCCTTGGGAATAGGAGATTTGTGATCACAGTTTGACAAGTTTTCTGTTATTTCTCTTCCTGTTTCAACATCCTCAGAAGGACCAGTTGAACTATCTTCACCATGGCATACAACAGACTCCTCAGATTCCCTGATGCCCTTGGTAAATGATTCTTGAAGCTTTCTGCTCCCTTGCAGCTCATCAAGAGAGTTACAACCCTCAGGGTCCCCATCTCGCTCACCCACAATCAACCCATTGTTCTCAAGTTCTACCTCTTTTGCCGATGAGACTACTGCTATCTTAAACCCATAAGATGGTTTCCTTTGCAGCACAGGCCCACCTTCCAAGTTTGTTAGATCTGTGTCACCTGAGAAATCTCCATCAGGGGACTCTGCCCCAACCCCCTCCTCTCGCTCAAGTAAAAGAGCATCCAGGCTCTCTCTGCTTTGTCTCATTTCATGGATTTCTTCACTGATACCTTCTAAGTTCTTCAGGGCCATGGAGTATTTTTGTTTTGCCTCCTGGAGACTTGCCTGTGTGATTTCAACTTGACGCTTGTGTGCCTAAGGATTAATGCATGTGCCAATTTAACTCATGGAAGGGTGGTTAATTTATTTGATTTATTACAAGTTAAATATAGCTGGGATGAAAAATTCCCAAAACATTCCTGAACAAATCATTTGCAGCAAAAGAAAAATGAGAAGTTATTTCTATTGGGTAAGTTATGGTTGGCTTACAATTTCCCATTAATTTACTATTTACTTTGCACAAATCAATATGATAAGCTCAGATGAGTGAGCTGAGCTCACTTCAGAGATAATTTAAACCAAAAGGTCATTTTTGAGAGAATACACCACTGCTGTCACTGGTATCTTGTTACATTAACTGGACTATGGCAACATTATCGTTCACTTTCTGGGCATTACTTGGACAATAGATATACATGTATCCATGTATAGAAGTTCCCTTATACTTTTTATGTAAACTGTAATTGGCAATTTTTTCTTGTGAATCTTGATTTGACTCTTTTTTATTCGTTAATTGAAGATGATGAGATCTTTTCATGCCCATGTAAAATAGTTTTTTTGACCCCTGAATTAAGAGCTTGATTCAAATGACTGTGTTGCATTTTGCAAGAGTGTGAAAGAGTTTTGGACATTCTTAATGATGTGTGAAAAGGTCAAATAATTTTTATTACCTAACTAAGTTTTGCAAAGGGGTGCAAGGGACCCTCTGTATAATGTTTTAGTGATAGTTACTGATAAGTCAAAGATAAAAAAAACGGCTAAGAACTGTTTTGTTACATGAAAATCAAAACTTATCAGTTACTATTCTGCAAGGAATGTTTACCTCTAATATTTGATCATACTTCATCTTCAAATCAAAGTATGGCCTAGAAATGAAGAGAGAAAAAATGCTACTCAAAGAGTTTTACTTAGAAATTGTTATTGGTAAAGGCATTGATCAATAATCTTGAGAAGGTAATATCTTTCAGTTAAAGTGCCTGAAGTTTCAACAACTAAGTTAACATCACCATCAGAATGGTTGCCACTGACTGTCTCTGAGATTAACTTCGGCTCAAGTTGTCAAGACACCAGCGCCCAGTTGTTCAAAGGCTGATTAGTGCTAACCCAGGGTTAAATTTTAATCCCGGTTTCTATATTTCTCTGTTCAAAAGCAGTTTTGGAATGATTTTGCCAATTCTTTTTAGAACAATTGATCATCAAATTTTAGACAAATGGAATTACACTGAATTTTCTTATGAAGCTTTCAGATCTAAAATCAAATTTCACACTAACCCTGGGTTATCTTAACCCATCTTTGAACAACCCAGCCCAGTTCAATTGTCACAATCAGCAGTGACCTCAGGGTTTAAATGGTATACTGGTTGAAAAGGCAAGACTATCACTACTGGCAGATCCTACAGACAGTAACTAACAAAACTTCATGTTTGTGAAGATCATAATTACTCTATACCTAGACTTGTTGATAGCAGAATTCAGCTTTGATTTTAATTCTGTCACTTTTCTTCCAGCTTCACTGAAAGCCTGTGCTGTCTCAAGATGTTCTTTCTCCCTCAAAGCACGCTCTTTGTCAGACTCCATAACCTGCCATTAATAAAAGAGAAATCACTGAAACTCTTCACCATGTAAGGTAGAAACCCAGACCTGTGGTTTTAAATTCCAGGGGTCTAACAGAGAGCTAATACATTTTTTATTGTGAGCTATAATGTAAACCATACCCAGGTTCATAACAAGCTTCCAATGCATTGTTAAGATCAGCAAGGTTAATGGCAGCATGTGTGTAAATGAAACAAGTTTTTGATCTTAGTCTTTAAGTTTGGGAAGATGACATTCTTTATTTCATATGAGTGGGACGCACATACTAGTTGCTTTCATCTGCAGCACTGTAAATCTCTTTCACAAAAAACAGTCTGTGATGAACATGCCTGTGGTGGTTGAATGCATCGAGTTGTGAATTATGACCCAACTTCATAGAACATACTTCTCTATGCACATCAATATTTGACGTAAAAGCCGTTCCTCAATATGTCATCTTACATTAACATGTTCTACACTCAGGCTTTGGTAAAATTGAAGAAGAGCTCTCCAAAATATCTGTCGGCCAACTGTCCACTGACAGTTGGCCGACATAATGAAAACAAATTTAGAAACAAGTAAAGTGACTGTCATCTTGGTAAGTTTGAACTTTCACAATTACCTCAAAATGAATTTTGACAAACACCATGCGATAGAAGTAAATTTCGAGTGCAAGGCATTATTGGCCATATCGATCTTTATGTGAACTTGGTGTGAAGTATCTGACTGAAACATTTCGTTCCACTGAAATTGGAAGAGTTTAGTTACTTAGATTTAGCAATACGAGTAAATTTTTTCAAAGACTCACAAAATTGCACAAGCCTGTGCTTTCGTTGTGTTTCTGTCGTGTTTTCATTCTGTTTTTCCTTGTTCCGTTTGCCAAAAGTCAGCTGACAGTCAGCCAACAGATATTTTGGGGAGCTGTTCTTCAATTTTACCCAGGCTTACCGGCTACAGTATCATTCAGATCTATGGCATGATGGTCTGACATTTGAAATCAAATATAATGGATAACACTGACAATGAACCTTTTTCAAAGTACCAGTAACCTTGTGAACAAAACATTTACTCACAGGAAAAAAAAGACAAATTCTATACAGGACCCCCAACCTTTAGAACAGCTTGATTTAACATTTCCTGCCATGTTGGGTCCAGTACTTTATGCTCCTTAGATGTGGAGACAAGTTTCTGTTCTGCTATGGACAGCATTTTTTTTGCTGCTTGATGTGAGCTACGGGCCCTCTCATATTTTAGTGCAGCTTTCTGAGTTTCAATCTGTGACTAAAGATAAATATTTAGTTGTCTTTCACTGACTGCAAAATCATTAAATATTACACAGATTATACCAGGTATAAAATTGCTTCTTTTTTGTTAAGCTTGGATACTATACACTAGGGTTTCTTTCAATGGAAAATTGCTCAGACAAGTTCTCTAATTGTTGTAAATAACTGAATAGTTAAACTCAATAACTCATAGTTTATTTGATATACACACTACAAAAACATTTTTGCTAATGAACATGGAAATATGTGGCAGTTAGAAGATGAAACCCTTAATTTTTGCTGTGTACTAATTAACTGTCATAAAACTATTATAGATCATAAAAAATGGTCGGATTCAATGCTTTTAGTTAAAAGTCAAAAAGTTCAAACCTGTTTTGCTTTTTGTACAGCGTTATAATAAGGTCGAGCTCTGTCTATATATTTTGGTCCCAGAAAGGTGGCTTGGCTTTTCAGAATATATGCTGACTCTGTTAGCGTCTGTCTGAATGTTGCTTGAAGCTCCTGAAAAATTTAAAAAATATATAAAAATAAATGAATAAATCAATTGGAATTGTTGATGAGTAGTGGCTCTTCCATAGAGCAGCTCTTTGGCAACTGTTTTCTAGGTTGAATTTGGAATTTTGAGTGTTGGTCTTTATGGAGTGAGGAAAAATGAGAATGTAGAAAAAAATCTTTGGGGGAAGGATGAAGACCAACAACAAACTACAATCAACCACAAATGAATAAAGAGGGTGAGTCTTTATTTCCTTTTGCTTCAGTGGGAGAGTATAACGAGGTCAATGTGTTTTTATCCACTGCTAACGAAATTGGCCATTATTATGAGTTTCAAAGCTGATATTTTGAGTGTTAGCCATTTTCAGAATTAAGATGAAGGGCTAACACTTGACACTTCAGCTTTGAAACTCTTTATGATGGCCAATTTACAATCAACCACATCTGACTGATACCACAGGGATGTAGATAATAGCCGGAAGCCGGGAAAATAACCCAGCTGTGAATGTGACTTTTCCAGCTGCAAAGCACTACTTCTTTCTCCAAAATGTTTTTAAATGATGTCAGAAGATTGTTTATTTATTTCGTTTGTTTACACCTTCATTGCTGTCTTACCTGAACTGAAAGGATTGTACATACATATAGATACATACATACGTGCACGCTCACACACACACACACACATACATACATACATAGGTTAGTTGACCACTCCCCATGGGGGCTTTTCAGGGCCAATTCCCACCCATCGCACCCCAGGGGAGGACATCCACGACACAGTAATCTCATGCATAGAAAATTAACGTCTCCTACCCCTAGGAGATGGGGCCTACAGTTTATTCGTCCTTATCTGAGAAGACTAGAATATCTATCCATTTCTTAATTATAGAAAGGTAGCAAATTCTCTGCCTCACTATTTTAAGACCATAAGTATTGGTCCGGTGGGGGGTCCAACCCTCGACCTCCCGCACAACACAATCCAGTGCTCTAACCAATTGAGCTAACCAGGAGGCAGTTAGCTCAATTGGTTGTAAACACTCCATTTAGTGCAACGATCGCATCATTCACGATGATTCACATCATCCATTTTGCAGGCTCAATAGCCAGTGGTATTTTTAATTCATGCATGTGAAATAATGAATGCCCTTAATTTTGCTCCCAAAATCAAGGAAAATGCATCTCCGAGAGCATGCATTTTCAAGATTTCCTGAGGGGGGCATGTCCCCAGACCCCCTTGGTATAGTGTGCCAAAGGCACGCTAGAGTGGGCCTTCAGCCCAAGTACCCGCCTATCATTGCTAGATTTCTGCTTGTTAAAAACTTTAGCTAAATCCCTGTACCAGGTGCAGGAATTGAACCCTCACTGCTGTGCCCGTAGGAGGCTAATGATCACACTATTGCAACAGGCCTATTTTTCTTATATTTGATATTTGATACCAAACAGAAAAAAACCATTAACAAGCAGGTGTAGAGTAACTAATAAATAAAGTATGGCCCTTATTCACATGGCCTGTGCTACTACAAGTCCTACAGCACATCGTCACTTCATCAGTGAAATTACAACCGAGTCTTCATCAGTTATCAAACCAACTTCATTAATTGAAATATTTCAGAAACTTCAATGTTCGATATTTCATCGTAAGTACAGTCAAATCCCTGGTAAATTGCCCCATCCGCAAAGGAATCAGAATACAAGTAAAAGTCTGTGGACGGCTCAAACTGAAGACTTCTAGAGGCTCTGTGAGCTAACCCTCAACTTGAGTGCAGAATGCGTTTTACTCTTTGGTTCACTCTCGTGACATTTGGAATTGACATCTTCAATATAAAATTATTGTAATCAATATCGAAAAAAGAAAAAAAACAGTTTGACTTTGGCCTCGATCGACCCTCAGAATCAACGTCTTGTCTTCATTAATTTTGTTTAGTATACCGAAGATTAATCTGAGCATGTATACATCTTCCATTACGCTGCACTTTACGGCAACGACATACCACAAAGCAGAGAACGGAAAACTTCAAAAGAATAATATTCTTACCTCGAGATCGTGTTCCAGACGATTGATTTCTGCGGTCGAAGAGTTCAATCGCTCTAGCTCCCCCTGTTTGAATAGGACGAAAAAAAAACTCGACACTTCAGAATCGAATGGAAAAACGTTAATATGTGTACGTAATATAGAAGCACTCTTACTGTGGTAGTTTTCTGAGCAGTCAAAACTAAAAGATAAATATTAATGAATGTAACGTTAAATTTTTAGGGTGTTGTAATCATTTACAATAACAACCGATCGTATGTTCACAGAAACTGTAATTACCTTCACTCGGGGATCTAAGACATCTTCACTGTCATCCTCATCCTCGACATCCCCATCAGTACCACGAAATTGGACTTTACTCTCTGTATAGGTCTGTGAGACACCTGACGCCATCTTCTATGGTGACATGATGATAAAAAGCGATATAAGAAGGTTACGTCTCAAACGGGCAGAAATAGGCGGTGATAAAGTCCGGGAGAAAGTCAAAACAGGTGTATTTTACTGGAGCCTCGATTCGATGTTGCTGTGGCGGCTGGGCAGAAACCGCTGATTCACATAAGAAATAATTCTTCTTCCATCGTGGATTTTTTTTCTCTCTTCTCAAAGAACAACATAACGTCGATTATTGTTTCTGAGGATTTCTCCAATGTAACAGAATTTATCAGGTTATTTGGGAAGGACTACAATGGGAGCAATGCTAAAAAATATACAAGGTGACGCTTTCCGACGCTGGCCTTTTTGACTGCAGAGTCGAATCATGAGTCTCAGCTGATCAATATGACTCCCGACGATGTCGGGTTCAAACATCTGTTATTTCGTACCTAAGCGATGGCGAATTGCCGTTTTTGCCATTGTGCTGTTGTTGGTTGCCTATTTTGTCCTTGAACCGATGATTAAAACAGGTTCGCCAATCAATTTTGGATGTGAATACGAAATGACAGACGTGCTATTAACGCCGGAATCTCTCGGAGTCAGCTTTTGCCCTATTTGTTTTGGTCGGAATGAATCTATCTGTGAAGGTGTTTTATACAGTACTGTGCGGTTACGCCGTAAAAAGAGGGCTTCGTTGGAAGATAAATGGAAACCGAAAGCTCTAGGTCTGTTGAATAAGGACAGAATTTCAATCAAACATTTAGGAAATATTAGCGAGTTTCACAAACTTGATAACGAATTGTGTAGCCTGGTGGGAACGATTAATGCTCCATGCGGTAATGATGTCATTTGGAAATCATTCGTTAATCCTTCATCCATAGAGAGGTGAGCGATGGTTTATCAAATTTTGAAAACTTTTTTTTTTTGATTGGGGTTTGTTACTGATTGTTAATCGACGTGTCAACACAGGAGCTCTCGGTGTTTATACAGCCATGTGTTGTATGTCAAACAACGGAAAAGGGAAAAATCCTTTTTCAAAACAATGGAGCTAATCGAGGCAAAAAAAAGAAAAACAATTTCAGTTTTCTTCGCAATACTCATCTTGGTCAATAAAAACGTAAAAAAAAGAACTTGGCCAATATGTACCCAGAGGTGGCATATGGTATCCGCGGACTGGACTGGACTAGTAAAACGCGGACTAGTAAAGCGCGGACTAGTAAAA